GTGGGAGAACTTGCACAATTGGTGGCTGACTAAATACTTTTTTTCCCCACTGTACATGTATATATGTTTGACCAATGACCATCTATTGATGGGTTATTGTGTGTGTATGTGTGTGAGTGTGTGTGTGTGTGTTTGTTTGATGATCCCAACATTAGCCAAGGAGACTGGTAAGTACACAGGGACCCAGCTGAAGTCCTGCAGGAGGGCTTGGAGCTTAGGATGTTGGTAAGACACAACTCAACATGCATCAGCTGTATTATTAATGCTTTTAGTACTTTGGCTTTGTGGTTTTATATTGGCCCTTTAAGCTAAATTAGGAATTGATAAACACTCCCAGAATTGTTTAGAGGCTGCTCTTTTTCCTGTCACATACATTACAAGTCTACAGAGACAAGACTTTTATTGATGCCACTCAGAGGAGTGACATAAATGTACAGTACGGCCAAACAGCTATCTGACCGGAAGCACACCTGCCAGGCATTACGTCAAGAAATGTCTGTCCTTCACTGGGTTGTCAACTACACAGTGACCTAGCCGACTAAACTCAACTCCACGATTTAAAATGGTGTTGAGTGGCGACTAGTGTGGGCGGACTGGAGCTCCGTTTGTGTAATTGCGTGCTATTCTTTGGGTGCTGAAATCTGTCGTTTTTGATAAAAACTTAATTTTATGTGATGTTGGAGCTCCAGTCCACCCACACTAGTCGGCTACAAAGTGACCCTGCCTTGAGGGAAGCACTGGTGTAGGAAAATCATTAGTCTTATGATAGAGACTTCAATACTTCTAGTATCAATAACTTACAAGATATCAGTAACTTCTAATTGATATTTGGTTGGAAATTTGATCAGCCTGAAGTTTCAACATTTACTTATTAATTGAAGAGACGATATTGAAGAGAAGCCAATTGCCATGTCAGAATAACTAAGACAGAATGTTATAAGATCAACCCACTTACAGTGAGAGCCTGAATTTGTACAATCTTACAGTAGCACTACAACATAACTTCAAGTTAACCTGATAAACATTGATTTTGCATCTCATTGATGCCTGCGTGAAGGAGCCATTATGCTGACACACTGGACTTACTGATCTCATCTACTCCACAGCCTGTTTGTAAAGCACTGGCAGCTCTCACATATACAGTATCTCTCCACAGCCTGTTTGTGTGTGTGTGTGTGTGTGTGTGTGTGTGTGTGTGTGTGTGTGTAGTATCTCTCCACAGCCTGTTAGTAAAGTACTGACAGCTCTCACATACAGTACCATAGCTACTTCCTATAAAGCTTCAGGAGCTGATATCAACTCCTGCTCTAATTCCATTTCCGAGACGAGGCAAGAACAGCTACAGCCTGAACAACAAAGCATTGCATGCTCTATCTATCTATCTATCTATCTATCAGAGATCAGAGAGAGAGAGAGAGAGGAGAGAGAGGAGAGAGAGGAGAGAGAGGAGAGAGACTTCGTCTCAGCGATCGAGAGCTATACTAGTATCTCTATCTCTAATCATACTCTCTGCTCTCTCTCTCTCTCTCTCTCTCTCTATATCGTATATGTCATTGTATCGCTAGAGGAGCTCTATCTCTCTCTCTCTCTCTCTCTCTCTCTCTCTCTCTCCTCTCTCTCTCTCTCTCTCTCTCCCTTCTCTCCCTCCCCCTTCTCTCTCTCTGAGCAGTGTAAAGGTATTGATGAAAGCTAGCTCTAGCTGACCCATCCTGACATTGCCTTAGAGGAAGAAGTAATGAGCAGTACTGGCTGAGCTCATCCATTCCACACATGATCACATCACTACTGGGGCTCATGGTTGGGATTATGTTGAGATGACAACACAGCAAAGGAATAGTGATTGTATTTCAGCAGGCCTGAAAAGCCCTAATATAACTTAACCCATCATGATCATACAGAAGCTATGACTGTTATGCTGAATTCTGATCGATTAATTGTTCTATTAGTCAAGAGTCACACATGTTCCATTCATCAAACCACTCTCACGCTCTCTCTCTCTCTCTCTCTCTCTCTCTCTCTCTCTCTCTCTCTCTCTCTCTCTCTCTCTCTCTCTCTCTCTCTCTCTCTCTCTCTCTCTCTCTCTATGCATATTTAGCAATTATGAAAATAAGTAATCATAAACAAGTGAAATGAATACTGTCCACATATGACTTTTGGAATGAAAGGTTACCTTGGCTGCGATGGACGAACTGGGCTTTTCTAGAAGGTCCCAGAGTTTCTTTCGTTTCTCGGCACAACAGGTGTTGTCAAACTCTTCTCCTTCTCTGTCGTTCAAGGTGTCTTGCTCTCTTTTGAGCTCCTCGTTCATCTGTTCTTTCTTCTGGTGGTACCTGGCCTGGCAGCAGGACTCCAGGTAGATCTCATCTATACCCCAGTAGTCCAGCTCCTGACTGAATGACAGGGCGCACATCTCCTCCATCATGTGGAGCTTACCGGTCCGGTAGAAGTTCAGAATGGACGTGAACGCCCCCGGGTGCCGGTCGAAAAAGTACTCATTTTCGTCCAAGTTGTAGTCGTCACATACCTCCATGAGCGAGTCGTGGGTGTTGCAGTCTCGTAGTTTCCCTAACCGGGTGCGCGGTAATCTATCCAACGTTCTCCAGAGGACCTCGTGTGGAAGCCCCCCAACGTTGAGCCGTACTCGCCGGTAACATGACTTGCTGCGGATGATGTCCACCGGTTCCGGGGGGAGAGATGCGGTCGACCGCGAGCCAGTCTTAGTCAATCCCATTGAGGATTTCTCCATTTTGAACTGTGAAGAGTTCCACTGAGTTCCAATTGGTCCAACAGGCAAGATCCGTGCGGGGGTAAATTATGGTCTACATTAACGCTTGTGAATCTGGGCGTGGGGGGGTAGAGATGGAGAGGGGAAAAAGAGAGGAAAAGAGCAATAATGTCAATGTCAAGAGTCCAAAAACAACAAATCAGTTCATAAGTGATAGAGCCATCATGACACTCGAGCGCTGCACTCACGTGAACCCATTTTTCCTTGAATAAATAATGGAATAGAGATGTTTGCGACTGAGGAGGCCATTTTCAAAAATTTGGAAGAACTGAATACATAAGGCTTATGTCACTACTGATGCAGTACTTCATAAATCCGGTGTTTTACTGGTGTCTCTCAACAATTCAGACCAATGCGTTTTCTCTCACCATTCACGATGAGTTCCCAAATCAAAACAAACCATCACCTCCCATCCTTCTCTTACAGTACCCTATGGAACGCTTTGGATGATCACAGATCCATACAGTACCAGGTGAAGGATCCTCCACAGTGTCAGTTGAATATGAATGTTGCAGCATGCTCTGTCCCTCCCTCATTGATGAACCAGTTGCATGCATTTGCATTCAAAATAAGCTTTCTAAATCAAAGTAGCAATGGATGGATGGGATGGATTCTTTCTGTCTTGATGATACAAACATTTTCAATTTTCCATTCGAGACAATCAAGTCCTGCATTGTCAATACTGTTGTGTCAACGAAGTTACAAAACTTATTTGCTCTCTACAGTATAGGGTATAGCCTTAAGCCATCATTGATTAAATGCATCACATGCTGTGGTGGGCCAAATAGAAAAGAACAACCTGATACCGTCTTCTCCGTGACCGTTTTTTTTCCAACGAAGTTAATATTGTGGATCAATCAACCGTTATTGGAAACCGAAATAACACAATTTCCCTGCCACTGTCTTTTGATCAGGCTATGTGACAGTTGTATATGCTACAAAACGTCCTAATGTGCATCTTCGAAAAGCTGAAATGTGAATGTTAATGTAGCAGCCTACCAATTCCCCTGAAATTTCCCCTGCTCTGAACGACAATTCGTCAATGTTGTTTTGCATTTTTCTTTTTGCACATTGAAGAGGTTTGCTTGTTACTCATTAATGTCAATCCGTGTGTAAATGTCTATTCATGTGGAGCAGGCCTATAAGACCGTATAATATTACATTCATAACAATAGCAATATAACCATCTAGCAATAATTGTTTTATAAAGGAGACCAACAAATATAACCTGTTATTTGACTATACGGAACAAGCCTCCCACATACCTTAACTTTAGGATGGCTCATCCGACGGCAGCGAGAGGCAGAGATGAAAACATTCAATCCAAGAGGAAAAAGGAGGAAACGTCATTGGTTTATTAGCCTATTCCCGGCAACGGTTTTTGACCCATTCGGTTTCAAGCGGTGTTGCCTCCGTGGCACTCTGGATCTCATCGGCCTTGGACATGGTTAGATAAGGGAACCTATACACTGATTTAGTTCGCCTACCATGTCACCCGCCTATTTTACTGGAAATAATCAACAAGTAAGTATATTGTGAATCCACACGGTTTTCTGCACAGGGGGTCTTCTCCCGTCTGCTGTCTTTGAGAAGTGCGGCGCGACTGGTAGCTGGGCAGGTGGATCCGTGGCGCCGCAGCAGCTTCATCGCCCCGCTTCACAGTGAGGCGTTTAACCCTTACGTTACAAAACTAAGGACCTGCAATCTTATTCGCCATAATACACCATGTTGTTTGCCACCAAAATAGCGCCACAGGGAGTATTAATGCCCTCCCAATTCATGCAGACAGATATAATGTAATTGCACTGAATTCTATAATCTAAACCCCCCTCAATCTTGTCGTGCTTCAAAGCCTATTTGTTGCAATGTGTGCACTTCGCCATATGGGTAAGGCTATGATGATGTGCAGTTCATTCAAGCCATTTAGTCTTGAGAGACACAAGCAACACAACACAAGCAAGTAATTCCAGATACATACATATGCACATTATTTATTATTCAGAGATATACATTACAAGTGATAAAGTCTGAATGTAAAAACAATATTGAAAAACAAACTATAAATAAAAACAAGAAACTGATTTTTTATTGAGTGCAGTCAGTGTCAGGAGGATGTAGGATGAAGTCATGTCCTAGCCTGATCCCAGATTTGGTTGTGCTTTCTTGCCAACTCCTAATTGATTTAATGTAATTGACATGCTAAACATGGCAATACAGCACAAACAGATCTGGGACCAGGCTAATCATGTCCTAGTTCTAGTGCAGGATGCAGGAGTCAGAGGTTAGGGGTTGTGTCCTAGTGCAGAGTCTTTAGTCTGTAGCGGACCTCCAGGTCTCCTTCGGGCTGGAGCATCCCGAAACCATAGCGACTGGGGTTGACCGGAGGGACGATGGCGGTTGGGTCACACAGCTCCAGGTCCAGCTGGGAGAGGACCATGAACACAAACCTGAGAATCACAGAGAGGGAGAGGAAGGTTAGTTAAGTCAATCCTCTTGGCCCCCATTGGGAGTATAGGACGTCTAGCATTGCTCTCCAGGCACAAAGAACACTAGCTAGCAGAAAAATAATGACAGGTGACCTCATTGTATAACTGTAACAATATAAAATCACCAAGCATGCATTGAAAGGGTTAAAGAAAAATGTATACAATGCCTGCAGAAATAAATCTGGATGTAGTCGGCCATGTGATACACTATTTGCATATCACACATATGGTAAAGCCTAGAGGTTGCGACCCCATACTGTGTGTCTACAGCTGTTCTACCACCTTCCAATATTATCATCTGGCCTCTTACTCTCACTGTTGATTAGTAGGATTTTACCTTTGAACTACTGATATATGGCACAGAAAGACACTGACATCAGCACTTTGTGATTGTCTTCAAGGACCCTCTACCCCTCTAATGCTGTACATACAGTACATATCAGATGAGGCTGGTGTTGTATCCCTGAGCTAGCTCTTAACCTAGTCAAGGGCTTTATGATTAGTTGACGATTGGAACCAGGTGTGCTAACTTTAGAATAGTTCAAATACATGGAATTGCTGGGCGCACCCGAGGAGAGGTTTGAAAACCACTGCCTTAGGCTATGTTTGTAGCGTGTAGTATATCATATGAAACAACGAAGAAAATCCACTTCTCAGGATCAGTCCTTTTCTATATTGATCATTCTGTCTGCTTAGCTGTTCTGCTGTATGGTATCTCTATTGAGTAAACATTTGGTCATGAATTATTAAAATGGCCATTAACGTGTGTGCTACAGTAATAGTGTATGTATCAGAGGAGGCTGGTGGGAGGAGCTATGGGAGGATGGGCTCATTGTAATGGCTGGAATGGAATCAATGGAACGGAGTCAAACACGTGGTTTCCATGTGTTTGATGTGTTTGGTACCATTCCATTGATTCCATTCCAGCTATTACAATGAGCCCGTCCTCCTATAGCTCCTTCCACCATTACAGAATTATCAATATAGATAAGGACTGATCCTGAGAAGTGGATTTTCTTTGTTGTTTCATATGATATACTACACGCTACAAAAATAGCCTAAGGCAGTGGTTTTCAAACCTCTCCTTGGGTGCGCCCAGCAATTCCATGTATTTGAACTACTCTAAAGTTAACACACCTGGTTCCAATCGTCAACTAATCATAAAGCCCTTGACTAGGTTAAGAGCTAGCGCAGGGATACAACACCATTGTGAAACATCTGGGGGACCCTGAGGAGATGTTTGAAAGCAACTGGCCTAAGGCAGCGATCTTGATGTGATTGTAAATGCCTCATGAATCATTAATACCTCGCTAATGAACTGATTCATTGGGGAAACAATGTATGAACAACGTGGGGTGGTTTAGATATACTTCGGTGAGAGGAAGCCTAATTGTGCTGTCTTGCCAACTCCAATGGTCACTGTCACGTGACAATTACAACAGGAGTTGGCAAGACAACACAAACAGAAGTGGGACTATGTGTGAGGGACAACAGGTGGAGAATGTCATATCATACTCACTGTTTGATGCCATTGACTGCAAAGTGTCTCCCAACACACATGTTGTTGCCTGCACCCCATGGCATGGTGTAATACTTCAGTCTCTCCCCGCCCTTATAGAACTTCTTCTTCTCTGTCCCGTCTGCGTTTAGGAAGCGGTCATATTGAAATGTCTGTAAAGCAGAGTAGAAAAAAACAAGGTTATTGTGATGATGACACATAGATGCTACAGCACAGTAAGTCACTCCAGTGATGCTGCATAATCCCCGCCCCACAAGTATGCACGCACACACGCAAACGCACACACACACACACACACACACCTTGTGTGTTTGTTTCAATTACAGCCTTTAACCAGCTAATCCCCATGGGATCTCCTCTCTTAGCCCTTTAACCTTTCCACCATGTAATCCTGGCGCCATTTAAACACTGCGTAGTACAACACTGTATATGAGACACATACGTACACACACACACACCAGATGAGGCTGTTGGAAGGAGCTATAGAAGGACGGGCTCATTGTAATGGCTGGAATGGAATAAATGGAACAGTATCAAACACATATGGAAACCACGTTTGACTCTGTTCTATCCATTCCATTCCAGCCATTACAATGAGCCCGCACTCCTATAGCGTCATTCTATTAGAGTCATTCTATTAGAGTCATTCTATTAGAGTCATTCTATTAGAGTCATTCTATTAGCTCAGCAGACAAAGCCTGATTCATTCCCTCATAGTTCTATACTCAGAAACACTTTCACCCTCACCATGTTTGTGTATTGACTTTAGTAGTTCAACAGATTGGTGTAATGTATTGTTTTGAGAGGTTGTTTCAAGTTACAAGTTTTAATGTCACGTGCACAAGTACAATGAAATGCCTGTCTTGCAAGCTCCAAACTCAACATCAATTGCTAGATTCCATCCATTTGGCGACAGATTTTCATGCAAATATTCTAAAATCTGCGTAAAGAAAATATGCACATTTTCCCTCCAGTGGTGTATTTCCATCAAACTGACTTGTTTCAGAGATAAATCAGTGCGTGATGACATAGCGCACCCAAAATGTAATTTTTCGATTAAGTTTTCATATACCGAATAAAACTCTAAAGTGAAATGAGTTTCCATCGCATTTTCAACTCTACCGATAGTTTTGTCACAAAAACTGTTGCATTAAAACCCATAAGAGTCCAAGCCCTGTCTAAGCCGTGGAAGGGGGATGTGGGGGGGGGTTCTACTAAGCTATATGGAATTGTTTTAAAGAGATCATACCAAGGATCATTTAGCTATTTAATTTGGAATTTTAAGACCCCTTGAAGTATAAAAAGTACAACCTTTGGCCCATACAAACGCACTGAATAACAGATTCACTACATGGAACAACAGCTAGTCCCAAAAAAAGGATCTAAAGGAAGTTTGTTCTGAGGTTTCTGTCCTATACAGTGCATTCGGAAAGTATTCAGACCCCTTGACTTTTTCCACATTTTGTTACGTTACAGCCTTATTCTAAAATGGATTACTTTTTTTTTTTTAAGTCGTCATCAATCGACACACAATACCCCATAACGACAAAGCGAAAACAGTTTTAAAAAAATGTTTGCACATTTATGGAGAAAAAAATAATACAGAAATACCTTATTTACATATGTATTCAGACCCTTTGCTATGAGACTCGAAATTGAGCTCAGGTGCATCCTGTTTCCATTGATCATCCTTGAGATGTTTCTACAACTTGATTGGAGTCCACCTGTTGTAAATTCAATTTATTGGACATGATTTGGAAAGGCACACACCTGTCTACAGTCCCACAGTTGACAGTGCATGTCAGAGCAAAAACCAAGCCATGAGGTCAATGAATTGTCCGTAGAGCTCCAAGAAAGCATTGTGTCGAGGCACAGATCAGGGCAAGGGTACCAAAAAATGTCTGCAGCATTGAAGGTCCCCAAGAACACAGTGGCCTCCATCATTTTTACATGGAAGAAGTTTCGAACCACCAAGACTCTTCCTAGCGCTGGCCGCCCGGCCAAACTGAGCAATCGGGGGAGAAGGGCCTTGGTCAGGGAGGTGACCAAGAACCCGATGGTCACTCTGACAGAGCTCTAGAGTTCCTCTGTGGAGATGGGAGAACCTTCCAGAAGGACAACCATCTCTGCAGCACTCCACCAATCAGGCCTTTACGGTAGAGTGGCCGGACGGAAGCCATTCCTTAGTAAAAGGCACATGACAACCCCCTTGGAGTTTGCCAAAAAGCACCTAAAGGGGACTCAGTCCATGAGAAACAAGATTCTCTTGTCTGATGAAACCAAGATTGAACTCTTTGGCCTGAATGCCAAGTGCCACGTCTGGAGGAAACCTGGCACCATTCCTACGGTGAAGCATGGTGGTGGCAGTATCATGCTGTGGGGATGTTTTTCAGCGGCAGGGACTGGGAGACTAGTCAGGATCGAGGGAAAGATGAACGGAGCAAAGTACAGAGAGATCTTTGATGAAAACCTGCTCCAGAGTGCTCAGGACCTCAGACTGGGGCGAAGGTTCACCTTCCAACAGGACAATGACCCTAAGCACACAGCCAAGACAACACAGGAGTGGCTTCGGGACAAGTCTGTGAACGTCCTTGAATGGCTCAGCCAGAGCCTGGAAATGAACCCGATCTAACATCTCTCTCTGAAAAAAGCTGTGCAACGACGCTCCCCCTCCAACCTGACAGAGCTTGAGAGGATCTGCAGAGAAGAATGGGAGAAACTCCCCAAATACAGGTGTGCCAAGCTTGTAGCGTCATACCCAATAAGACTCAAGGCTATAATCGCTGCCAAACGTGCTTCAACAAAGTACTGAGTAAAGGGTCTGAATACTTATGTAAATGTAATATTTCAGTTTTTTCTTTGTAAATAAAATTCTACAAACCTGTTTATGCTTTGTCATTATGGGGTATTGTGTGTAGATTGATGAAGGAAAAAAAACAATTTAATCCATTTCAGAATAAGGCTGTAACGTAACAAAATGTGGAAAAAGTCAAGGGGTCTGAATACTTTCGGAATGCACTTTATCTTAGATATATAAGAAAGATGAGGGAAAAAACATTTAAATTCCTTTTTTTACATTTAACCCCTTATTTTCGTCACTAAACAGTCTCTGTATATACTTACATTCATTTTTTCAACTGGTACCTGGGAACCTTCAGATGAGCAAAACAACCAACATATACATGTTCGTGAGAGTCTCACCTTTGCACAGAAGGGTCATATTAGTGTGTAGCTCAAACTGTTCGGACGCCATAAACAGAAGTTGGCAGATCGGTTGTACTGACTTCAGACGAGTCCTAAGATGCTTGTGGGGGTTGTAGAGCAAAACGGAGAACACCATCATGTTTGTCTTTCCATAGAGGGGTCATAATATGTAATAGGTTCCATAGAGGGGTCATAATAGTTTGTAAGCCAAACCGTTCTGAAGCTACAGACGATTTTGTGAGAAGACTGATTTTCGGGATGTCTCATGGTCTGACAAACATCGCTCTAGCTCGGTCACCTTTCATCGGCGGATACGGTGGATTGAGACGCATCCAATGCAAAAAAAAACAGATATCTCTACCTTAAACTGACAGATTTTTATGGGGATTTTTTTATTATGCTAATTGATTTTTCCGCGGGGTGAGGACATCAACCTTAGGGGGTTTTAAATAGCAAATGTGCCTACTCTGGTCTTGGCACATGCCCTCTAGCTAACAACTCGCACATACAGTGCGGGTACGCTAGTCTACATGATGAGATTATTATGGATAAGAGGGAAAATATTTGTATTTGTCAAACGGCAGTCAAGTATCTGTCACGGTTTCGGCCGAGGCGGCTCCTCCTCCTTGTTCGGGCAGGTTTCGCCGGTCGTCGTCTCCGGAGTTCTAGCTGCCACCGCTCTATGTTTCTTGTTTGTTTGGTTTTGTCTGTTAGTCACACCTGTTTTGTGTTAGGTCTCATTTGGCACCCTATTTAGTTTCCTTGTTGTTAGGTTAGTGTTGTGTGTAATTGTTCGTGTCGTGGTTGCGCTACCCGTGTCGGTACGCTATTTTCCTTAGTTTCCTCCTTGTGTGTTAGGAGAGTTTACGCACCTGTGTGTGCGCTCGCATTTACGCCTGTGTGCGTCCTTTTGCCTCCGGGCTGTTTTGGATATATTTTTGTGCTTAAGTAAAGTCTTGTTGGACTTATCCTCTGCTGCCTGCGCCTGATTCTACACCACACCTATACACAGCAACGTGACAGAATTACACACCTTGACATGGAATCAGCAGGAGCACCCGTCGACCCCATGGAGGAGCGTCTCCTTGGTCAAGAGCACCGGATCAACCGAATCGGGCACGCCTTGGAGGGCGTCATGGACACCCTTCGTCGATGGGAGACCAGCGGGGTTCCCACAGCCCCACCTATCGCACCATCACCACCGGACAGCCAGCCCGTCCATCGACCGGAACCCAGTGGGATTCGGCTCTCGCTCCCGAGGGCGTACGACGGCACCGCTGCCGGGTGTCAGGGGTTCCTCTTACAAGTGGAGCTCTACATTGCCACCATACACCCGGCGCCCTCGGGATACGAGAGCGTTTCCGCCCTCATCTCCTGTCTCACCGGCAAGGCGTTGGAGTGGGCCAACGCCGAATGGAGGGGAATAGACGCCGCCACAGTCACCTATGCGGAGTTCTCCCGTCGCTTCCGTGCGGTCTTCGACCATCCACCAGAGGGGAGAGCGGCGGGGGAACGTCTATTCCACCTCCGACAGGGGATGAGGAGCGCTCAGGCGTTTGCGCTGGAGTTCCGGACTCTAGCGGCTGATGCGGGGTGGAATGAGAGGGCCCTCATAGACCACTTCAGATGTAGCCTTCGGGAGGACGTCCGCAGGGAGTTAGCCTGCAGGGACACTACACTAACATTTGACCAGCTGGTGGACATGGCCATTCGACTGGACAACCTGCTGGCGACCCGCGGACGTCCCAGGTGGGGGCCTCCCATTCCACCCTCCAGCGCCTCCGAGCAGTGTCCGATGGAGCTTGGAGGTGCTGGCGCTAGAGGGAGAAGAGGTAGGAGCCCGAGGGGGGAAGTCTCCTGCACTAAGTGTGGGCGCGGAGGGCACACCGCGGCTAGGTGCTGGGGAGGGTCCCCTGGTGAGGGAGAGAGCAGGTCATACAGTGGGGAGTCCACCCAGGTGAGTAGGCGCCCTACTTACCCAGAGCTTTCTGTCGTACACATTACCTTACCTGTTTGTTTCCCACAGGTTGCACCTCGGTCCCAGCATAAGGCGCTAGTCGATTCAGGCGCAGCTGGGAATTTTGTAGATCGGAGATTCTGTGTTAAGTTAGGGATTCCCCTCCTTCCAGTCGAAAAACCCTTTCCTGTACATGCCCTAGATAGTCGTCCGTTAGGATCTGGGTTGATTGGGGAGGTCACAGCGCCACTTAGGATGATGACGCAGGGGGGTCATGAGGAGACGATTCAACTCTATCTGATCGACTCTCCTGCGTATCCGGTGGTACTGGGGCTTCCCTGGTTGATGACCCATGATCCTACTATTTCGTGGCGAGAGAAGGCTCTTAAAGGGTGGTCTGCTCAGTGTGAGGGGTTATGTCTGGGTGTTTCCGTAGGGGCGACCTCGGTGGAGAGTCCGAACCAGATGCCAGCACTGCACATTCCTCCTGAGTATGAGGATTTGGCGCTCGTGTTCAGTAAGACCAGAGCGGCACAGTTGCCACCTCATAGACAAGGGGATTGTGCGATAGACCTCCAGACAGGAGCAGCGCTTCCGCGGAGCCATGTGTATCCTTTGTCACAGGAGGAGAAAAGGGCAATGGAGACTTACATTGCCGAGTCTCTGAGACAGGGATACATACGGTCCTCCACTTCTCCCGCGTCCTCGAGCTTCTTTTTTGTGAAGAAAAAGGATGGAGGTTTGCGTCCGTGTATTGATTACCGCGGTCTCAATCAGGTGACGGTGAAGTACAGCTATCCACTTCCTCTGATTGGGACCATGACGGAGTCCTTACACGGGGCAAGGTTCTTCACAAAATTGGATCTCAGGAGCGCATATAACTTGGTGCGCATTAGGGAGGGCAGCATTTAGTACTACCTCCGGCCATTACGAGTATCTCGTCATGCCATATGGGTTAATGAATGCTCCATCAGTCTTCCAATCGTTTGTAGACGAACTTTTCCGGGACATGCAGGCGCAGGGAGTAGTGGTGTACATAGATGATATTCTTGTGTACAGTGCTACTCGGGCCGAGCATGTAGCCCTGGTGCGCAGGGTATTGAGGAGACTGTTGGAGCATGACCTGTATGTCAAAGCTGAGAAATGTCTGTTCTTCCAGGAGTCAGTTTCCTTTTTGGGTTACCAGTTGTCTGCGTCAGGGGTGAGAATGGAGGTGGACCGAGTGTCCGCCGTGCGTAATTGGCAAACCCCAACTACGGTTAAAGAGGTGCAGCGGTTCTTGGGTTTTGCGAATTACTACCGGAGGTTTATCCGGGGTTTTGGACAGGTGGCAGCTCCCATAACATCTCTTCTGAAGGGGGGTCCGGTGCGCTTGCAGTGGTCAGCTGAGGCGGACAGGGCCTTTGGGAGACTGAAGGACCTGTTTACCTCGGCGCCGGTGTTGGCGCACCCGGATCCCACTTTACCCTTCCAAGTTGAGGTGGACGCGTCTGAGGCCGGTATCGGGGCAGTTCTTTCTCAACGATCCGGTACACCACCTAAGCTCCGCCCCTGTGCTTTTTATTCTAAGAAGCTCAGTCCGGCGGAGCGGAATTATGACGTAGGGGACAGGGAGCTGCTAGCCGTAGTACAGGCCCTAAAGGTGTGGAGGCATTGGCTTGAGGGGGCTCAGCACCCTTTCCTCATTCTGACCGACCATCGTAACCTGGAATACATTCGGGCAGCTAGGAGACTGAATCCTCGCCAGGCTCGATGGACTAGGTTTCTCGCCCGGTTTGTGTTCAAGATCACTTACATCCCTGGGTCCCAGAACGGGAAGGCAGATGCTCTGTCCCGTCGGTATGACACGGAGGAGAGGTGCGTGGAGTCCATTCCCATACTACCGGAGTCTTGTCTGGTGGCACCGGTGGTGTGGGAGGTCGATGCGGAGATCGAGCGGGCGTTTCGCACCGAGCCTAGTCCTCCACAGTGTCCGGTGGGTCGGGTGTACGTCCCGCTCGAGGTCCGGGATCGGCTGATTTATTGGGCTCACACGTCCCCCTCCTCTGGACATCCGGGTATTGGCCGGACAGTGCACTGCCTTAGTACGAAGTACTGGTGGCCAACGTTAGCCAGGGATGTGAGGGTTTATGTCTCCTCCTGCTCAGTGTGTGCCCAGTGTAAGGCGCCCAGACACTTGCCCAGGGGTAAATTACAGCCCCTGCCCGTTCCACAACGACCCTGGTCTCACCTCTCGGTGGATTTTGTTACCGATCTTCCCTCCTCACAGGGGAATACCACCATCCTGGTCGTTGTGGATCGGTTCTCGAAGGCCTGTCGTCTCCTTCCCATGCCGGGTCTTCCTACGGCCCTACAGACCGCTGAGGCGCTATTTACTCACGTCTTCCGGCATTACGGGGTGCCCGAGGATATAGTGTCCGATCGAGGCCCCCAGTTTACCTCCAGAGTCTGGAGAGCATTTATGGAACGTTTGGGGGTCTCGGTGAGCCTTACCTCGGGTTACCACCCGGAGAGTAATGGGCAGGTTGAACGAGTCAACCAGGATGTGGGTAGGTTTCTGAGGTCATATTGTCAGGGCCGGCCGGAGGAGTGGGCGAGATATGTGCCCTGGGCCGAGATGGCACAGAACTCTCTCCGCCACTCCTCCACCCAACTAACCCCTTTCCAGTGTGTATTAGGGTACCAGCCGGTTCTGGCACCGTGGCATGAGAGCCAGATCGAGGCCCCCGCTGTGGATGAGTGGGTGCGGCGCTCGGAGGAGACGTGGGACGCTGCACACGTCCATCTGCAGCGTGCCATACGTCGACAGAAGACGAGCGCCGACCTACACCGCAGTGAGGGGCCAGTGTACGCACCTGGAGATCGAGTCTGGCTCTCAACCAGAAACCTGCCCCTCCGCCTGCCCTGCCGGAAGCTGGGTCGGCGGTTTGTGGGGCCTTTTAAAGTCCTGAGGAGATTGAACGAGGTGAGTTACAGGTTAGAACTACCTATTGATTACAAGAATATTAACCCCTCGTTCCATGTGTCTCTCCTCAGGCCGGTGGTAGCTGGTCCACTCCAGGACTTTGAGATTGAGGAGACTCCTCCGCCCCCGTTGGACATCGAGGGGGCTCCGGCGTACACGGTTCGGACCATCCTGGATTCGAGACGCCGGATGGGGGGTCTCCAATATCTCGTGGAGTGGGAGGGGTACGGTCCGGAGGAGCGGTGCTGGGTGCCAAGGAGGGACATTCTGGATCCGTCCCTGATGACCGAATTCCATCGTGGTCATCCTGCGCGCCCTGCTCCGCGTCCCCCTGGTCGTCCCCGAGGCCGGAGGCGGCGCGCGGCTGGAGCCGCGCGTCAAGGGGGGGGTACTGTCACGGTTTCGGCCGAGGCGGCTCCTCCTCCTTGTTCGGGCAGGTTTCGCCGGTCGTCGTCTCCGGAGTTCTAGCTGCCACCGCTCTATGTTTCTTGTTTGTTTGGTTTTGTCTGTTAGTCACACCTGTTTTGTGTTAGGTCTCATTTGGCACCCTATTTAGTTTCCTTGTTGTTAGGTTAGTGTTGTGTGTAATTGTTCGTGTCGTGGTTGCGCTACCCGTGTCGGTACGCTATTTTCCTTAGTTTCCTCCTTGTGTGTTAGGAGAGTTTACGCACCTGTGTGTGCGCTCGCATTTACGCCTGTGTGCGTCCTTTTGCCTCCGGGCTGTTTTGGATATATTTTTGTGCTTAAGTAAAGTCTTGTTGGACTTATCCTCTGCTGCCTGCGCCTGATTCTACACCACACCTATACACAGCAACGTGACAGTATCGATCATCATGTCACCAGAATAAGACCCTCGATATTTATTGGAAAGGAGCATAGCATGCGCTTTCAACACTCTGTGAAGTTCATTATGACTTGCTTCATCTGTATCCTCATAAACTGCATGGTTTCCCCGAGTCGTAGTGGGAGAACCACACAGCATATAAACGCGTGATGCCAAATTTGCTTCGATATGATGGTTATTATATCAGTATATAAGTATTTCTCGAATAATACATTTTACCGACACATAAAGATCCCACCATGTTGAATTAACAAATGATCTGTTGGCATTTATAAAATTGTACCGATACTTCCTGTTTCCAGGTCAGTTCCAATACCATATTTACAATGTGCGGAGATACTGGAGTGATAGAGGTAGATATGTATAGGGGTAAGGTGACTAGGCATCATGATGTATAATAAACAGAGCAGCAGCATCCTAAATTATGATTGTATGTGAGTGTGTGTGTGTGTAGAGTCAGTATAAATGTGTGTGCATGTTATGTGTGTGTTGGAGTGTCAGTGTGCCTGAGTGTGCATAGTCTTGTGAGTGTGCATAGAGACAGTGCAAAAATAAAAATAAAATACAAGGGTCAACTCAGATAGTCTGTGTAGCCATTTTGTTAGCTAATTAGTAGTCTTATGGCTTGGGATAGAAGCTGTTCAGGAGCCTGTTGTTGTCAGACTTCCTGTGCGGAAGCAGAGAGAACAGTCTATGGTTTGTATGCACACATTCGTAAAAGCCTTTGTCCCAGGTGCTGACTAGACTGAACAATAATCTAAAACCAAAACAAATCTGTACACTGGTATGCTCCCAGGTGCTTAGTTTATTCAGACAATATTTAAACACCAACTGGGTCTTTGTCAGGTAACAGTATTGTGTTGTATTACCTGTGGATCATGGTGTATCTGGGGGTCCATCTGAGGGCTGAGGAAGGGGAACATACACACCCTGTCCCCCTGTCTGAGGTGGTATGCCTGTCCACTGGCCAGACGAATGGTCTTGTCCTCGACCACCTCTCTGGTGATGAGGGCAGCAGCGGTCAGACGCAGGGTCTCACTCAGAACACTGTCTGTGATTGGAGGGAGGGACAATACATATGATGTCAGAGGGGTGGCTGCCGGGTGCATGTGAATAATCATGTGAATAATCATTCACATGCAATAATCATAATCATTACCCTTGTCCCAGATCTGTTGTGCTGTAAAGCCAACTCCAATGGTTGACAACAACCATAGGAGTTAGCTATAGCACAAACAGATCTGCCACCAGACTACACAATCATAAAACTAGAGGTATGCCCTTCTGGAAAGCTGTGGATACACAAGAAGAGGTTATAATATCATCCTGTGGCAAGCAAACTTTAACCTTATTCAACCACAGCTAAAAAAGTTATATTTATCCATCTTTACTCATTCAGCTCTCTGAATCTTTCCTTTTTTCACTAGTTATTCCACACAGTTCAGATGAGCTTCAGTTCAACATTTCACTGCATGTCTTTGGCTGGACAGGCAGAGCCCTGAGGTGGAAGAGAGCGTGAGTGAATAATAGAGGAGGTTTCTTGGGGCTCTTACCAAACACAGGTGTGCTGTGGTGCTCCAGCGTATCCAGAGGGTGTCGCTGTAGAGAGCTGTCCTCCTGTAGACGCAGGCCTCTGATCTCCTTCTTCACTGCTCTCATGGCCTCGGGGTGCGTAAGCAGGAAACTCAGAAGCCAGAAGGCAGCAGGCCCAGCGTTACCCTGGAATGAAAGAACACAACATAGACTCACAGTCAGTTCAGAAACAGTGACTGCGTTACAGAGCATGATGCAGTTGCTCTGCAGTTACTGAATATGTAGTATAGGTTATCACTCTATGGTTAGACAAATCCAACACAATGCTCACTCTCAGCCCATCAAAGACAGTGAACCCATTACCGAGCTTGATGAGGTAGATACCCTGCAGTTATAGACAAATCCACAACAGGTACTGTACGGTGTGAACACACTGCAAGAAGCCCCCAGGGGAAAATGGAAGCGTGTTTAGATAAATCTAAATCTCTCTTTTTTTCTCTTTCTTTCAGTCTCACTTGACTTTTATTTTCTATATTTTTTAGCCCCGCCCTGCATCATGATACTGCTGTACTGTACTGTAGTGATCTGAGGAGCAGCGAGGAGCCATTAGTGCTGTCAGGGCTATGTAGACAGGGATATGTAGACAGGGCTATGTAGACAGGGCTATGTAGACAGGGCTATGTAGACAGGGCTATGTAGACAGGGCTATGTAGACAGGGCTATGTAGACAGGGCTATGTAGACAGGGCTATCAGAGTCTACAGAGGGCTGATACGTCTGTCTGAACCTGTCAGCCAGTAATTGCAGTGGGTTCAGGGAGCTTCTCTCATCACCCTTTCACAGGCCAGGTCTTCACTGATCCACTGAAAACCAGGGCTAATGCAAGGTGAAGACCAGGTCCAATGGTTCTCTGGTTGAAGATCCGTTACGACAAACACTAGGCTACACAAACTGTGTGATGTTGTGCCAGTTTACTGTAGGGGTTACAATAGAAGTGTTACAGTAGAAATAGTCATTTCAAATACTGCACGTTCTTACAAACACTGTATAGGGTTTTTCAGCAAAATGAGACACTTTGAATTGCCATTGAATTCACTAGTAGACGTGTACACAGTAAGGAACTTTAGCTCTTCCTCCACTCCTCTGAGTGTGTATTCGTATACTGTGTACTGGTGTAGTTGTGTTGAAAGCAGAGCCGCAGTCAGGTGTGTGATGGATTGAATGTGACACAGGCTCACTGAGGTCCCCTGGGGTCCATCATAGGGATATAGACATTGGACTGGAGCCTCACTGACAGGCTGGTTGAGAGATTGTGGGACTGTGGAACTGTGGAACTGCCTCCACCCCAATCCCCAACAACACACACAGAGCCAGAAACATAAAGCTCTCATAACTTTCTTGCAATATCTAGTGATTGTATCTGTTGTATGAGATTATGTTGTATGTAGACAGCATGGAACTTAACATCTGCAATGGAAAAATTGCATTTGGCATGTGTGACTTTACTGAAATCTCTGATTCACTCAGTATTGTATTCTTACTGAGGAAGCCTACCTCTGTGTGACTGGTGGTGACAGAGAAAACAACCAGAAGATATTCCCTGTGGCACTTCCTTCTACTCAGCTCTAATATGTTTCAGTGGTGCTTGTCTTCCTGGCTCTGTCTGACTGTCTGTGACTGGAACAGTGAGTCTCTGTTCCAGAAAAGACATGAATAAGCAGGGAACAGTGATGCTAAAGGACTAGCTGTCCTCTCCTATCCCAGCCTGGCAGGTGAGCCAAGGTCCCCAGAGGGAGAGGCTCCATCTTGGCCAAGGACTCTCTACCCGCTTCCCTGGTCTGAGTGGGCCGACTAGGCCTCCAGTGCTCCAGGCTGAAAGGAGCAGCCAAAGTGCCAAAGAGAGCAGAGAGGGCCTGGTACAGATGACACCTGTGGCTCCATGCTGCTCTGAGGCTGATGGTGAAGGCAGGTTCCAGGACAGACAGACAGCACACTAGCTCTCCCATCTGGCCACACAGTGCAACAGCAGCTCATTCATCACAATTTGTTGAGACTGGTTTGAGGTAGGAAGCCACAAGGAGCCTGTTATTAAACCGCCTCTGGAGCTCATAAATATATAGAGAGATAACTTCATTGCTGTGATCTATATTGGATTTTGACATCAATATTTATTGATGTCTATTACAGATGATACATCTAAATCAGTGGAGGCTGCTGAGGGGAGGACGGCTCATAATAATGGCCGGACCGGAGAAAATGGAATGGCTTCAAACACCTGGAAACCATGTGTTTGATGTATTTGATAACATTCCACTTATTCCGCTCCAGCCATTACCAAGAGCCCGTCCTCCCCAATTAAGGTGCTTCCAACTTCCTTCCAAATCGTCCTACAATTTGTGTACTGAAGGCCTAACGTTTGGTCTAACTCTGAAATTAGACAGGTTGGTTTGGGCGACCCACCAACTCTTCTTTTTTCCATAATGTTCTGGAATGTGTGGACCCATTGTCCCGGATTAGTTTACACAGAATTCCAAACAAGCCCAGGTGCCATGAAAACACATGAATGGAAACTCTTGTCACATTCTCACATAATGACATAATGAATCAACTGTGCCAACAAGGAAGTCACAAGTCATTGGGAGAGAAGAATCCTGTGAACTTAGTGTAAGAGTGACATCCAGGTGTGGCAGAACACTGTGAAAGCATTGGTCTTTGTTCCCCTGAATTTTGTGTGTGTGTGTGTGTGTGTGTGTGTGCGTGTGCATGTGTGCATGTGTGTGCGTGCTTGTACGCCTGTGCTTGCATGTGTATTTTGTGTGTGAATGTGTAAGTTTCTGTGTGTGTATGTGTGCATGTGTGCGTGCTCTTGCATGCTCTTACATGCTCTTGCATCTGTGCGTGTTAGTGTGTATTCTTGTCTTCCCACTCACCTGGGTGGTCCAGAGCTGAAGCAGCATGGCTCGTCTCTGCATCTCCGTGTCCACTCCTTCCCTCTGTAGATGGCTGAGGTAACTCTGCTGCCAGGAACTGCTCTCTGACCCCTTTCCTCTGCTCAGCCATGCTGGGGACAGCAGCTCCCACAGTCGCTCCTGGGACAGGCTTGCTGACCTCTTCTCCTCTATCAACATAGAGAGAGAGACAGGTTAGAGAGGCAAGATCACCCAGAGAGAGACAGGTACACCCTTAGAAAAAAGGGTTCAAAAAGGGTTCTTCAGCTGTCCCCATAGGATAACCCTTTTTGGTTCCAGGTATAACTATTTTGGGTTCCATGTACAACCCTCTGTGGAAAGGGTTTTACATGGAACCCAAAAGGGTTCTACCTAGAACTAAATGGGTTCTATCTCGAACCAAAAAGGGTTCTTCAAAGGGTTATCCTATGGGGACAGCCGAAGAACCATTGTAGTTTCTAGAAAGCACCAAGAGTGACAGGTACACTGAGACACAGTTACACTCAGAGAGAGACACACACATGAACACAGAGAAACAGGTACAGAGAGACAGAACCGTATTTTATGAATAGATCAATTGTGTATTCATACAAGTGATGTATGACTACGTGCATTAGATGAAACTCTGTATATATGTACCTTGCTTGAGGGTTGAACGTGCCAATTTTGTGAGAAGACCATCAAACTTGCGGAACTCTTTGTAGACAATATCGAGTTCAGTGACGTTGTTGCTTTTCTCTGTACCAAACAGTGTGAGATACCCAGCCCTATAAGGACAGAAATAAGTATTAACTCTTGAGTAAGAGTAGGTCTTCACTCCTGTGTAAGAGTTATGCAATTTGCTCCAAGTATGATACTGTAATTTGACCCTAAATTAATCCCCGGGCCAGTGACCCTGAGAAATGTCTGCTGTTACCTGAAGAGCAGGATGACTGTTAACACATGTACAGTAGCTGGCCAGCACAGACAGAACTTACCTGAAGAGCAGGCTGTAACAGAGGCTGAAGAGGCCATCCTGTCTCCACTCTGCTGGGCTACAGCTCCTCTCCTCATCCCGTAGCAATGTCTGGAGGTGGAGGTGCATGGTGCTGCTTAATCTGGCCAGACTGGGGCCCTGGAAGTGCCTGGACAGGGATTTTATGGAGAGGTCGAATTTTTGCTACAGCATGTTAACTCAGAGGAAATTAAATTAATTTGCATGTACCAATTCTACCTATTCTGGTGGGGGAAAAAATCTCATTACAATACCATATAATAGAACAGAATAGAAAGAAACGGTATGGTCCTTGACAGGGAACTGTGTGTGTGTGGACAGGTGTGGATGGGTGTATTTGGATGGGTGTGAGGTCAGGTGTGAGGTCATACAGGTCTACAACACCTACTGTTCCATCCAGGCCCTCTCTGTGTCTGGGTTGTGATTGGGTATTCTCAGGCTGAAGATCCTTTGCATCAGGACCTGGGCGTAGCGACTGAAGTCCAGAGAGACCGTGTCATAGAGGACCGCGTCATAGGAGTTAGGATCCAGCAGTACAGTGATGTAATGACCACAAACACGTACCTGGGATATATTATTTTAAACGTTAAAGCCATGGCCATGTCTGTGCACGTCTGTCGTAGACACATTACACATTACAGTAGAGTTGTTTGACAAAGCAACATTAATAGTGAATAGGAGATGCACATAGCACTACTCTATAAAGAAGAGGTACTCACGTACAGATCTTAATTTGATCACCCTGTTGCAGGCTAACTTTCTTGCAATGCAGAAAATGTTTAACTTGTAGTGTATTTGAGGTTTAAAAAGGCTTCTGATGTTTGTAATTTCCACTTTGACATTTTGGAATTCATTTTCCCTTAGGAAAAATCTATCAACCCCTACAAAAATGTCCATATATTATAATCCACATAATAATTTACATTTCCTGTTGCTGCAGGATTATTTTTCTGCTGTAGCAAACTGGCTCAAATTAAGATCCTACATATGTACCTGTACACAAAAACGCATAGAGAACTCCTACCGTAAAAATGTCACCATGTTTTTGTTTCATCCGTGTTAGGAACTTTGCAGCATCTTTTCCAAACTCCAGGGCATGACCCAGCCAAGGAATGAAGCCTTTGTCTAATGGTGGTTCATTTTTCTGTCTGGTAGTAACAGACAGACAGACAGACAGACAGACAGTTGTCAACCAAGACTAACACTGTTCAATAGAAGGAGTTAATTCACTTCATCTCCCACACTAAACCAACTGGTTGTAGCGCTACAGTTGGCATAGGGACATGCCCTAAAGCAGTCAAATATGTGAGCTGATATATACAGACATACAGTAGGCTAGTAATACACTGTGGAAATAGGAAATAGTGCATAATCAATGTGTACAATATAAGAAATGGTCTGGGTTTGAATGGGTTGAATGGGCTAAATAAAGGTTATATTAATAATTGAATAATACAGGTTAATGGTCTATCCTGTATGTTCAGCAATGTTGTATGTTCAGTAAGACATTTTTGACCCTGACATTTTTTTCATGAATTGGCTTCTGTGTAGAAAGTCAATTTCTTTGTAAATGATGAAGTAAGCAATATGTGAGACATTGGTTAATCTTTTCACAACAATGTTCAATATCAGAGAGAGAAAGTAAATTATAGCAAACAACACTGACGTCATTGATTTACAATGTCTTGTTTTACAATCCAAATTGACCAGAAATATGAACAATATTTACCTCGAGCGGGAAGAGTAAAGAATGACAAGAGCGAGCAGACCATTGAGCAGTAAAAATATAGTCCATAACATTTTACTTGTTAAAGAGAGAGCTTGACAGTGAAATGAGTTCCTCTGGAGCTGAGGGTTTTGGAGAAGTGGCTGCCCTACTGTAGAACAGAGGTGTGGGGTGGAGATGGGTGGGGTTTGTGACATGTGTGTGTCATCTTAGTTTCTCTCTGTCACAGAACAGACACTGGAGCTCTGCCAACAAGTTTTCTGCATGAAAAAAAGGGAACTGAAGTGTTTCTCAATAGTGTTTTTAAAATATTTTTTTATATTTTCTTAAGAAGGCTTCGGTCCTTCTCTGCAGTTATGCCTACCAGAAAAGTTCCTTGAATTAAGCATCTCCACACTTTAGTATGTGAAAAAAGGGAATTCAATGTCCTCTATGAGTGTTTCTCAATCATTTTCTTTATGAAATCCTAATCCTATATTTATAGGGCTTTGGTCTTTCTATTGCACTTGTTCCTGAGAATTAAACTACCCAATCTGAAGCATCTCTCCTCTGTTGACTTATTCTGTTGAATAGGCTACATACAGTACATAGTCTCACTCAGTCATTTTATTTATTTTTTATTTAGTCATTTAGCAGACGCTCTTATCCAGAGCGACTTACAGGAGCAATTAGGGTTAAGTGCCTTGCTCAAGGGCACATTGACAGATTTTTCACCTAGTCGGTTTAGGGATTAGAACTAGCGACATTTCGGTTACTGGCACAACGCTCTTAACCACTAAGCTACCTGGTCATCAGAGTAAGAACATTCCATTAGAATGAGAGAACCTAAGTCAAGGGACTCTTCTTATAGTTGTAGAGTTCTTGTAAAGACATGCCTCCCTCTCTACTCTGCTGTTGACTTTTTCCCACCCTCATTTTCAACAATATTTCCACTGACTTGAGAACAGAGTTATATTTCCTGTCAGTTTGACAAATGGATGTTTATTTATTTCACACCTTATTCATGATTAAGCTGGCATTGAACACCACACCAACCACAGGCGTTTATCCCACACAAAATGGAACTAGCACTGTTTTAATTCACAATAATGAATTTCCCCTGGAATTATTATCACCACAGCTATTCACCATAGAAACGTACCTACAGATGTAGAATCTTAATTTGAGCCAGTTTGCTACAGCAGGAAAATATCCTGCAGCAACATGAAATGTGAAATAATTAATGGACATTTTTTGTAGGGGTTAAAACATTTTTAGTAAGGGCAAATCAAGTCTGACATTTTAAAGTGGAAATTTCAATCGTTAGAAGCCTTTTTAAACCTCGAATATACTACAAGTTTGCATTTCCTGCAACAAATTAAGATTCTACATCTGTAGTTTCACTTCCCTAATATACTTTCAGGTTCGTGACAAATTTATATCTGTTTACTTATAGGCCTAACCCTGCTAACTACTCAGCAGTATAAACATGGACACGTCTACTCAACTCAACCACACATATAGATTAGTTTGAATATGTGAAAACCAACATTATTTACATAGAGTGGGAGAAATCCTCTTTAGACAGCTTGGCTGAGGTTCATTATTCCGCTGAGTGTACTGTGGTGTGTACTGTGGTATGTACTGTGGTGTGTTCTGCCACTGCCATGTGTGCTGTGTGTATTTGTCATGCAGAAGTTCCCACATAAAGCATATTCTGTGAGTGTATTCTCCCCCCAGCAGAGGGCTGACTGATACTGGCTGGCCATGTAAGTGCATACAGCACTGACATACAGTACAAGGGCACTGTGAAATGCCTTGCTTTTTAACCACATCAATCATTTCCCCAAATCAATATCAGGAAATCAATTACATACACACATACACTGATGAAAAACATATGTATGATAAAGACTACTGTATCTACAGGGAAGTAGGGGATTAATACATAGCCTAAACCTATAGGAAGGCAGGGACTTATACATGTGATAGGGTCTACTACAACACCACATTCCTTTGTTCTTTGGAGCGATCACACAAACGCTGACATTGCAAAAAGTACACTGCGATTATAAAATATCATATTTTTAGAACTTCAAACAGTCGAGTCATGAAGCACTAATACAGTAGGGAGAGATGTTTAAAATTTTATCGAGTTGATTTAAGTATTTTCTCCCAAAGCCACTGAGGCATATTATTAGACCATGCTAAGAGGCCCTGTTGAGATGCCGAGATAACACTGTAAGTGAAGAAAAATACTACTGTCACTCAAGGGGATTATGTGTAGTCAAGGAAGTAGTGGACTCATTAGGGCAGAACATGTGTCTGTGTCTGAATGCACACAGCATTCAACTCTGAGCATAGCACAGCAAGTGGAGGTTACTATACACCTAGTAAAATGTATACACTCAGCAAATGTTCGGTAATCTGCTGTTTTATAATTGTTTTCATTGTGTCCTAAGCTTAATATTTCCTACGAGGAAATCCAAGTAATAAAGTTATCACTACAAAATCTTGATAGAAAAGTTATTGACTACAATCTCAATAATACTGTGGCTAAATCAGGATCAAATCAGTGCTACAATAAAGTCAGTGTAAACGTGACAGATTCCACCCCATACTGAAAGGAGGGGAGACAAATTACAGTAATGTGTCTTGAAGAAACATTGACATTGTCATAGTTTTTCAACCTAAAGTGATCTGTATTCATTATCTGGCAGTGACCGTGTTTCAGCAGTCTAATCTATCAGTGTTACTGTCCCAGGGGTCAGTTCAGGGTCAGTCATTGAAAGCCTGGGTGTCTCTCCTCCACTAATGGCTCATCTCAGGGGTCAAAGTTCATCATATTACCAGAGCCTGGCTGTATTTGAAAAAATTACTAGCTGTCAAATCCTTGCTTCATCTGTCCTTGTGCCCTAATTGTCTCACCTCCCTCTCAAAGCTCATTGGTGGAGAGCATCCAAGGGTCCTTCCTTTAGACCTCCTCCTCCAATGAGCTTTGAGAAGGAGGCAAGGAATTGAGAGAACAAGGACCGATGAAGCAAGGATTTTAAAGCTAGTAAAATGTTCATACAGCCTCACTACACTGCATGGGATCCCATGTTTCCAAATGGTCCCTACTTTAAACATGAAGGTAAAATGGATAGAGGTCAGTCCCAGAGGGAAGGGAACCTCTGTAGTATTTTCACCCTTGAGAGATATGAAGAGTGGAGTGAAGTATTACTCAAAGGATATGTTATTACCAGGATAAATACCAGCAGAACAATAAGTTATGTGAATTGAAATGGCATGACTGAAAATAGAATTGGGTAAAGGTAACTCAAATGCTGAAGTGCCTCATATGCTCTCTGACTTCGGAATTGTGGATTGTGATTAAATATTTGTATTAAAACCTCTGGGAGTGGGAGAGGATATTATCGTTAATATAATTCATAGTCTTAAGACACTTACTACAGTAGAAGTTGACCAGCATTGCTCCCAAAGAGACCCATGAATGAATGAATTACTCAGGATGAGTCCCAAATGTCACCCTAATCCCAAAAGTGCTGTCACACCCTGATCTGTTTCACCTGTCTTTGTGATTGTCTCCACCCCCCTCCAGGTGTCGCCCATCTTCCCCATTATCCCCAGTGTATTTATACCTGTGTTCTCTGTTTGTCTGTTGCCAGTTTGTTTTGTTTCGTCAAGCCTACCAGCGGTTTTCCCCTTGCTCCTGTCTTTCTCAAGTTCCTGTTTTATAGTTTTCCCGGTATTGACCTCTGCCTGCCGTTATGTACCTTTTGGACTTTGATCTGTATTACTGACCTCTGCCTGCCCTTGACCTGACCTCTGCCTGCCCCCTGTTTTTGTAATAAACTTTTGTTACTTCGACACTGTCTGCATCTGGGTCTTCTCCTGAAACGTGATAAGTGCACTGTTTGACCAGAGTCCTATGGGTCTTGGTCAAAGGTAGTGCACAAAATAGGGAGTAGGTTGCCATTTTGGATGCAGCCACTGAATGGGAAATGGACAATGGAGCCTTGTTGTGCCTCAAGAACAGTGATGATGCTAACGTTTCCCTGCCTCCTTCACTGCAATGCCTTGGGGATCAGAGTCAAGTTAGAAGAGTTTGGGGGTTCCCCCGGTTTGGAAAAGAGAAGATTCTCCTTCAAGAGTCACAAAAATGGCATTTGCAAATGCATGGTGATACATTTTGCATCTTGGCTAAGTTCAAAGTCCAGTTGATGGCTGCCACAGGCCAATATCTGGTTCCAAGCTTCTGAAAGAATGCTCTTCTAGAAATACCACTCTTGAACCATATGAGTTCATATACAGTGCCACTGCCAACGTACTATTCTGATTTCGATCCTTTCTTTTAATGTGAAACCCTTCAGTGCATTACTGCTTATTTTGGATATTAAAAAGAATACATTTTTAGTCATTTAGCAGACGCTGTTATCCAGAGCGACTTACAGGATCAATTAAGGTTAAGTGCCTTGCTTAAGGGCACATCGACAGAGCCTTGTCGGCTCGGGGATTCTAACCAACAACCTTTCAGTTACTGGCCCAACGCTCTAACCGCTAGGCTATCTGCCGCCTACTGTGAATACCTTCACAGTAATAGCTTTACCTGGAGTCAGATATTATATCATGCAGGAATACAATTCTAGTAAACTCACATATTATCCGTAGATGCAAACCTTCAGACAATATAAATATGTTGAACATCTCTGTACACATTTATTCACATTTGATCCTGTGCACAGAATGGGGACAGTTCAAATGACTCTTCATTCATTGCCTTACTGGTAAATCTAATCTTCAAACTGTCTTTAGAATGAAGGCTACTAAGAAATGTGAGTCATTCAGCCACAATGACTGTCCTTGAAGGCTCATGCTTGGCTTGCTGAGTAATATTTTCCAGCAGAGAGACAAGAAAAACCTGTCATCCTTACGTTTTGTCATAGCAATTATAATAACAACATTAATTCTGTGTCATTGACAATGTTTTGTTATGTTATGACTGCCGTAGCTGTTATATTATGAAACATCAAAATATTATCCAACATCAAAACAATGTTGATATTATTATTAGACTACAACAGTATAGGTCTCTCTTCTGTTATGAGGGATGTATTCAGAGGGATACATTGAGGTCTATAAAGCAGCCTAAAAATGTAGGTATCTTATGCCATAATTTCCAGGTCAGCAGTGTCTGTGCTAACGATGATGTGCCTCTTTCAATCTTATCATTTAAAAATCTGTCACCATATATCAGCAACACTTCTATATTGCTTTGTCACCACGTGCATAACCACTGTACTATAATTACCCTCTTCATGTGTGTAAGTGAGGGAGTATGTGTGAGGGGAGGGGTGTGTGGGAGGAGTCTGAGATCACGTCTGCATCCAACTCTTGCTGCAGCACAGAGAACTAGCAAGAAAAAGGGTGGCTGGAAAGGCGTATGGAAAATTGAACGATGCAATCTTTGCGCATACTCCCCACTGCAAGGCAGTGGTTGTATTGAAACATATAATTGACCAAACGTAGTAAATGCGGATTCTTATTTATTTTATTTTTTGGACATTCAAAAATGTTATGTTGAGGAAAGAGGGGAGTTGTCTAGATTTGTTTTGCACTTTTAACCAGTTCAACGTCGCCTTGATCGCCATGCAACCTCAAGTGCATTTTGAGACCCTGAAGATCTCTGAAACGCAAGTAGCCCCCCCTGCTTCACGCTTTTGACTGTCTCTGCCGAAGAGATTTTTAGGCTAGGCTACTTTGTGGTGTCGCGAGGCGAGGTGTATATATAGGTGTCCATCATCTATTCCTAAAGAATCATGTCATCTCATACGAGAGTCAAGAAGGACAAGGAGATTATTGGGGAATACGAGACTCAAGTGAAAGGTAGGTATTTCCTAATCTAATCGCTTGTGTTTTGATGGTCTTCATTCAAACTGCTTGAAAACGGCTCTTCATTAGAAATGTTTGAAAATCGACCTAGAACCATGAAAGAACGGCAAAGCTTTAATTTTAAACCCCAAAAGTAGGCTACGATTATGTCAGATCGTGATATGCATGTTCAAATACATTTTTAAAAACATTTTAGACATTTAGCGATTTACAGTTAGTGAGTGCATACATATTTATTTATTTTCATACTGGTCCCCCGTGGGAAACGAACCTACAATCCTGCTCTACCAACTGAGCTACACGGGACTACCTGGCCAAAGTATTATATTGCCAGCAAAACAAGGGTGAATGAATAATTTTCTATGCACTGCAAAAATGAGCGTGGACCAGAATGACTGTGAGGATGCACCATATTCAGAGAATGATTTTGTAATTTATTTGTAGATAATCGTTTTTAAAGCAAAAAAAAAACCATGAGTAATAGTATGCAAATCAGGGAGCCAAATGAACGGCTCTTTCACCGTTGTGATTCACCAAAAAGATCCGTTCTTTCGCGAACGACCACTAGAGTCGACTATTGCATAACTTGCAATTCGAGAGTGAACGGCATTGATGGCATCAACAGCATGTTTTTACTTTATCTTGAACAGAAGCATTTCTTATGCGAATATTTTGGGCAGTTTTGTTGTGGATACACATGGTCAAGAGGTCCCTGTAACCAGATAAACACAAATTTCCAACAGATAATTACTCTTATTCAACACAATTTCGGTAAAAGCTCCGCACAATGCACCTTACGTGAGTAGGTCTACCAATGTATGGACACTCCAGACATTCCCACAGAATAGTGAAAATGCATAACACCACATTATGCAGCATTAACATGTTAAACAATATGTGGCGAAAGTTATTGTGAATGTATCCTTAACAAGGGAAAGATATATAACGTGTGAGAGAGAGAGGTTAAGGACAGCAGCACTACACATGGCTCATTCAGATAGCTAGTCTCTCAAGCCAAGGCCAGGTGTTCTTCATTTAGAGAATATGATACATTTATTCATTCATATATTTTTTTCACTAATTGGTCTTTTGACCAATCAGATCAGCTCGAAAAGAGCCGATGTGATTGCTGCGTTCATAACCAAGTGGGAAGGTGGTAATTACCAGTTGTGAAGTTGTAAATACCAGTTGGAAGCATTCACTTGCTTTGAACTCGTTGAGAAACTCTGATTGTCAACAAGCTGCGTCAACCATAAACTAAAAGTACATCTATGATGCTTATAAACAAATTATAGTGTTCAAAAACCATATTAGTAGATTGCATTTTATAAATAATGTTTTACATTTAACTGCCAAAAACGATGGAATCGAGGTCATTTCCTAAGTAGGTGATGTCAGAGGTCAGCATGTGGGAGAAGTCGGAGCTCAGGGATGATAGATGAGTTTCCCACTTGTAATTACCAGTTGGAGGGGCGTTCAAGTGGGTTTTTCCCAGTCGTATGTGGTAAATACCACCTTCCCACTTGGTTATGAAGACCGCATTAGTGTCTCAGAGACTAATGGTCATGACCTCTGACCTGATCACAGCCTGCTCTGACCACTGCAGTGGATCATCATCATGATGATGCATCACCATCTTTTCACTTCAGGGTCATTTCAGTAGGAGAATTCATCTAATAATGAGGTTGTTCCATATGATTTCAATCACTTTCTGACTGCACCCCTTTTGATTTAAACAAAACCTTCCATACCTGTTGGCCCATGGTAGAAGTGATCAGTGACTTTTTGGACCTGAATGCCAAAACATTCAGGAGATAGAGGTGCTCAAAGTTTACCCATTTTGCATACCCCACCAAGATACATCCATGTCTTCATCAAAAAGATAAACGGTTGAGTTTGATATCATTTAAAGTTTACAAACAGGGTTATCGAACTATTCTATGATTTCTTGGGATTTTTACAAAAACATTTATTGGGATTTTTTAATCGTTAATGTAAATTATCTAAAAACGCGTAAACTCAGACTTTTCTCATTTCTACAAATGTTGTAGCTTTACATCACCTGAAGTGTTTGTGTTGTGCCCGTCATCGGTTGACACAGCATGCTCTAGAATACAGGGTGGGTGTCATTTCAATCATATAAATATAATTCATAGAATGGACCTATCCCTTCAGACCACTGCATTTTAGCTGGTAAACCATAGATATATAAATTGAATTGAACATTTAACTTCCAATTACTACCAGAAACATGGCCGCCGGTCCATCCACTGTCAAATGTCCAATTTAATGTGAATGTCTATTGTATTATCTATGCTGAACCAAAATATAAACGCAACATGTAAAGTGTTGGTCCCATGTTTCATGAGCTGAAATAAAAGATCCCAGAAAGTTTCCATATGCACAAAAAGCTTATTTCTCTCAAATCTTGTGTACATATTTGTTTACATCCCTGTTAGTGAAAATGTCTCCTTTGCCAAGATAATTCATCCACCTGACAGGTGTGGTATATCAATAAGCTGATTAAACAGTATGATCATTACACAGGTGCACCTTGTGCTGGGGACAATAAAAGGCCACTCTAAAATGTGCAGTTTTGTCACACAACACAATGCCACAGATGTCTCAAGTTTTGAAGGAGCGTGCAATTGGCATGCTGAGTGCAGGAATGTCCACCAAAGCTGTTGCCAGAGAATGTAATGTTAATTTCTCTACCATAAGCCGCCTCCAACATGGTTTTAGAGAATTTGGCAGTATGTCCAACCGGCCTCACAACCGCAGACCACGTGTATAGCGTTGTGTGGGCAAGCAGTTTGCTGATGTCAATGTTGTGAACAGAGTGACCCATGGTGGCGGTGTGGTTATGGTATGGGCAGGCATAAGCTATGGACAACAAACCAGTTGCATTTTATCGATTGCAGTTTGAATGCACAGCGAGACCGTGACGAGATCATGAGGCCCATCGTCGTGCCATTCATCCGCTGCCATCACCTCATGTTTCAGCATGATAATGCACGGCTCCATGTCGCAAGGATCTGTACACAATTCCTGGAAGCTGAAAATGTCCCAGTTCTTCCATAGCCTGCATACTCACCAGACATGTCACCCATTAAGCATGTTTGTGATGCTCTGGATCGACATGTATGACAGCGTGTTCCAGTTCCCGCCAATATCCAGCAACTTTGCAAAGCCATTGAAGAGGATTGGTACAACATTCCACAGGCCACAATCAACAGCCTGATCAACTATATGCGAAGAAGATGTGTCGCACTGCATGAGGCAAATGGTGATCACAGCAGATACTGACACATTTCCTGATCCACGCCCCTACCTTTAGAAAAAAAAGGTATCTGTGACCAACAGATGCATATCTGTATTCCCAGTCATGTGAAATCCATAGATTAGGGCCTAATTTATTTATTTCAATTGACTGATTTCCTTATATGAACTGTAACTCAGTAAAATCTTTGAAATTGTTGTATGTTGCTTTTTATATATTTGTTCAGTATAGGTTTCTATGATTTCAATAAGTTTCTTATGGAGGATTGACAGTTTAATTTATAACAATGGATATTCCCACTTAAAGATGCACTATGCAGAAATCCCTCCGCCATTTCCTGGTTGCTCAAGTTCGAATAGTCAGTATATGTGACAAAACAATGAAGTATAGTATAGCGCCTTCAAACTCAACTCTGGACCTCAAAGCCAGTTCCACTGCATTTTTTCATTGTTTCCCTCTAATCAGGGACTGATTTAGACCTGGGACACCAGGTGTGTGCAATTAATTATTAGTTAGAACAGAAAACCAGCAGGCTCTGGACCCCGTAGGCCCTGCTGGTAAGAGTTCAATACCCCTGGTGTAGAGAATCATTGTACCATCTAAACCGTTGTGAAATATATTTTCCATAACCCAAAATATTGTATTGTCAGCTGTTTGAAGCTGGTGTACAAAACCAAAAGTAAAAGATGCAAAAACTAAATTAAAAAACGGGAAGCATAACCTTTGCGCACCAAGAACAGATCTACTGCTTCTTAGACTTGCTTTCATTGAGACTGAAGACATAGATGTCTCATGATGGGGTGGGGTATTCAACAAAAAGTCACTGTCTGATCACTTCTACCATGGGCAAACATATATGGAAAGTTTCGTTCAAATCAAAAGGGGTGCAGTCAGAAAGGGATTGAAGTCATATGGAATGACTCAATGTCCATCTATTCAAAGGAAGACATTACATGAGAAAAGAGCTTTCGAAGAGATGTCTTGAAGACAGTGAAAGAACCAGGGATGTCCTTTTAATCAATAACGTTCTATAATGTTTGGCCCCAGAGTAAGTTCATTTTACATCTTCTTTAATTTTCAGACACTCATAAATAAAAATGTGTTAGTGCAGGAACTATAGAGGGTCTGGCTGGGGAATCTCTCTACTGGCAAACAGTTCAGAAACGCCATAAATAATGTATGTTGTCAGCATGAATTATGGAACCATGAAAGGGTTTTAGTGTCTCTCTGCTGATGCTAAATACAGTATGTGGCTGCATCCCAAATGGTACCCCATTCCCTACATAATGCACTACTTTAGGGTGCCATTTGGGACGCAACCTGTGACTGTAGAAGATAGGACCACCAAAACTTATAGAGGAGATTGAGAGAGAACTAGTGAGGGAGTGTATATGAACAGTAACTGTATCAGAACTGACAGAATGCATCCTGCGGCCTAGGTTTAGGTGCCTAATTTTAGAAACTCAATTTTTCCGGTAACTCAATTTCGAACTCTATTTCCAACAGTCTGACTGACTGAGCCAGCCCTCATATCCCCCATCATTCCTAATCTATCTTAAATCAACCCAGCAGAGTTGAATATATTGTAGCTAGTTGTAGATCTTCCTCCTGCTCTCCTCTAAACCCGATGGCTTCTCCAAGTTGACACATTAAGAGGATGAAGGTACAGTACATCCTCTTGTTCACGTAAATGCCAATTAGCAGACACTTTTATCCAAAGCCACTTACAGTACAGTGAGTGCATACATTTGTAGTAAGTGTATGTGATCCCTGCAATAATTGAACTTACAACCTTGGCATTGCTATAGCCGTGCTCTTACCAACTGAGCTGCACAGGACCACATATAGAATCCTCTACCCTCCAACATGTTTGTAGAAGAATAGAAAAGGCAGACAATATAGCCCTCAAGACAAGTGGCTGATGAATTCCACAACTAAATAGTCTGATGCATGCCACAATGGAGCCCCTCTGTTAGATGTTTCTAACCAACAACAACCCACACACTTTTTGTCAGTCAATCTACCTTGTACTGAAGTAAGAAATGCAGTGGTCTTTGCTCACCACTAAAGGGTAAGATGCTGTGTCAAGCAGATATCAGACACATGTATTATCCTACTTGGATTGAAATATTGTAACTAATTTTAGACTGTACTTACAGCAAAGAGCAAACACTGAAACCCTTTTATCACCCCCTGGAGCAGGGTATGACCGTAGTGCATCATGAAGAAACCAAGCTGCTCTCACTGCTTTTTAATGAGAAATGGAGGTACACACTGCAGCATGTTGCTGTAGTCTACTGAAGTTGACTCTTCGTGTGTGTGTGTATGCCAACATTCATACATGTCTGTGTATGTGCGTCCGTGTTTCTTTACGGCAGTGTGTGTGTTGACTGCGATAGAGCCATCACAGCTGAGAGGACGTCTCAGTTTCAGGAAAAGCTTTTAAGCTGACAGCTTAAGCTCATTTGCAAGGCTGTCTGGGATCAGTTCAGTTGGGAGTTATAAGGGCTATACTCTGGCATCGGGGTCTAATAGTGCTGAGTAGGTAGCTGACTAAACAACATTTTACTGTAGTGCAGTCAGCCAGCAGCCCTTTATTGCTGTCTATTTCCAGACCTGCAGCAGATTTCTAGACATAGGTTATTTCTTGGTAGCCTGGTCTCAGATCTGTTAGAGCTGTCTTGCCAACTCCTTCGGTCAATGTCGGTCAATGTCACGACTCCAACAGTCACGGCTCCGAGACAGATCTTGGACCAGGCTACTTTCTTGGGAGAATTTGACTTGAACATAGTGGTGGGGAGTCGACTACAAAATACTTGATTCCTTGCCTGTCGACTCCCATTTATGGGTGTCAAGCTTCAGTATTTTTGCAAAAGAGGAAACTAGTTGCCATAGGCTACTTCTGAGAATACTAACTCTCACAACTTTTACAGCAAAGAAAGAGCGAGCTTGCGAGGGAGGGGGAGAGAGGGGAGGGGCACAGCCAGGCATAGGTAGGCATGTCGGCTACCAGGCAGACAGTCAGAACCATGCATCGGTAATCAAAAGATGTATAGGCTATTGCAATGCTGTGTCTCTCAATTTCTTTGCTTGCAATGTTTCGCACAAGTTCACTAAAGTACGGGCTATCAATGAACTTTTTGGAAATGGCAAGTTCCCTTTCTCATCCATAATCGCATGTAAAATGCAAATGCAGTTCAGCAGCTCATATCAGCAGGATGGGGGCATTGTTATTAAGAAGGACATCTACCATGGATTGCTAAAATTATGATTATGATCACACTTCATACATTTAAATATTATGGGGACACCAATACATTTGGCAGCCAAGCACAAGTTATCAGTGTATAGCCTATTATTATCATTTAGACATTTGAAATATCTTCGCCTAGAATAAAAACCTTCAGGCTTCCGTCATGAGTCAATTACATAAAAAAAACTAAAGAATTACAGGGGGCAGTTTGGAAAAACGAATCCTGTGTGAATCGTCCTCTGGAAAAACGCAAATGCTTGGATAATAATGACATAACCAATGTCTCTAGTAATACCCGTCCGAATAGGGCTATAACATGGAAAATAATAGGTTTATCAGCGTAGAGTGCACGGCATCATCCCATGGGATCGGTCAAGGCTGCGCACAGCAGAAATATTCTAGTTCCTACAGATCACCTTCTATATTCAAACAAAAGAGGCCTTTTATAGGCTAAGTTGATGAGGAAATGCGCAGCATCATGCTCATGTCAGTCCTCTAGAACGCAAATGTAGTCTTCCTAGTAGGACTCTGCAATAATGAGGTGGTGTGCACGTGTGTGCACATCCGTTTCAGCGTGTTTTGGGAGTCGAGCAAGAGTCATGCACCAAAAATCCTGGAGTCATGCACCACTACTTGAACAGAATGTTGAAGGACCAACCGACTTTCCGTAACCATGACGAACAGTCAATGGCGTTAAACCTATAATAACTGCGTTGACAGGTCATGACAGATGACATCATTATTTACCTTGTCATGACACTGGCTGTGGTTTGTGTGGTATGTTGTCCAACCACTCATTAATAAACTAGTCACTTCCTATGAAGGATGTGTCAACTATTGGTATGCGTCAGAATTAATCGAAACTAACCGCCATTAATGGTGCCATGTTTAAGTCTCACCAGCGCCTTTATACACCTGCCCATGATCCTTTACACAGACAATCAAATTTACTCATGAAATTATATCAAAACATGTATTAAAATGTCTTTAGTCCTTGAAGCATCTTAGTGATTTATTACAATAATATTACAATCATTTTTATTTCCAGATGGATATACAGTATAGGACATTACAGTACAGTGTGATTTATCCAGCAGGTTAAGAGGTCAGACTGGAATAGACCACAGTTCTTTGTTCTGTGCATAGCTACTGATGTCTTTGTATGAGCGTATGTATGGTTGACACTGTGCATGAATGTTTATTGAATTACTCAGCCTGTTTTCATATTCGTTTCCTATAGTAGCTGGCTATACTAGCCACTTAAGAAAACAACAGTTTCTGGTGTGTTGGAAGTGAAACCCAGCTGCAATCTGTTAGCTGACCTTGGTTTGCATCCATACACATATTTGCATGCGTTTGAAAGAATCACAGTGGATCAGCTTGACTACAACTCAGTCACAGGCCATTAAACAAACCTCTAGATGCACTGCAGCAAGGCACTGCCGTTTACCCTCATCTACCACTTCTACCCCCCATTCCTACTCATCTGGAAAGTAAAACCCACTGAATGAGGTTTGGTTGACCTGGATCATGGGCCATTTTCTCTCCCTCTGTCATTAGACTCTTTCGGAGTCAGTCCATTTAGGTCTTATGCTTAAATGCTTCATTTGGTTGGATCTAATATGATGCATAAACAATTTTCATACATCGATACGCACATAGAAACCATGGTAACTCATAAAACATTGGTGTTGTAGATCTGTTTTTATCAAAATATATTTCAGATTGGGAGGGTAAGATTTTGTTTTTAAACATGAACACATTTTCCAACTGAAACAAACTGCCTTGTTGATGCCTTGGGTCGTAAACATGAATGTGGCTTTTGGTGGACTGGGACCACAAATCAGCCCTGGCATTTCTAACACACTGGCCCATTTTTTTCCTTGAGGTCCCCACAGCAGCCCATTCCCCCCCCCCCCCCCCCTTGAAGCCCTCATTATTAGCCAGATAATGATAATTTTGCCCAAAAATCCCAAGTTAGACAGGTCCACTGGCCTAAAAATGGACCAGCCCATCTGGCATTTACCCGAAATGCCAGATGGCTAGTCTGTCCCTGTGTGGCATTGAAGTATGGTGCACAATGTGTTAGTAAGTGAAGGTATACTAGCCTACTATTTACAGTAGTCACTGAGGAAGACTTTATTGCAGTTTAGTTTCATTTGATCAGTCTAGGAGAAGAAGCATTAGGAAGCGTGTGTGTGTGTAGCTTGTGTTCCTCCTCTCTGTCTCCACCGTAAAATAAATGTATTGCAGTAGATCTGCATTCCATGACTGTCTGGGCTGGTTGACGCCCCTCTGCTAATCAGTATTCATCATGAAGAAAAAATGCTTTGACCTTACACTGTCATGAGATTTCATGGTTTCATTGGAAGCATGAAGCAATAATGTAGCCTGGTTCCTAGATCAGTTTTTTTCTGTCTTGTAAACACCTATGGTGTTTGGCGTGACAATTACCATAGCAGTTAGCAAGACAGCACAAAGAGATCTTGCACCAGGCTAGTAATAATGCTACCCCAACCCCCTCACCCCTATACTGCAGCCTGCCACCCACCCTGTGTGATATTCTTTCACCCTCACCCCTTCTTCTCTCTCCTTCAGCACCTCTGTGTTTGTCTTCTATGGTAACAACAACATTTATTGCAAAAATCAGCTACAGATGAAGGCAGAATTCTGTGTCGAGACACGTCTAGACATAGGAAATCAATGTGAGGTGATTGTTATGGCCATCATAGCTGAGCCCAGTCTGTCTGTCTGCACCCTTTCCTCCTGTCAACCTCTATCTCTGTCTCTGCTTCTGTCACTGGCTGGATGCTGATGCCCTCATTAAAACCATTTATTTCCACAGAGCGAGATAGAGACATTGGAGGATTACAGAGAGACATAGAGATTAATTTGTGAATTCAACCAAAGGGTGTGTAAAGACAAACCATAGTAAATACGGCTCACCCAAGACAAGCGTTCACAGGAAACAGCCTCACTGCCTTGCTTTGTGCCAACTGATGTCGGAGTGTGCGCCTGTGTTAGGCGGCGTGTGACCAGCCACGCATGGATAACAGCAGAGAGAGAGAGAGACAAGCCCAGAGACAGTGCCACTGGCCCTGTCTATCTCTTCACAGGCTTGTACTACATTGCCACTGACCCTCGCTTCACAGACCAACTGGGCTAACTGGCCCATCCAGGCTACCACGCTACCCACTGGGACCGTTCACTGTGTAGTAGGCTATACTCTGCTCTACTCTGCAGTGATGCAAGACCAGGGGGGTATAACCACCAAACTTGCAAAGATGTGGTGAACCATGTCCTCTGACAGACATCATGAACCTGCTTTACTACAAGCTGCAGCATGGTTATTACTAGCCCAAACTATTTTCACTTAGAGAAAGATAAGCAGACCTGAGGTTTGTGTAGGAGTCTGGACAGGCAGCAGGGTTGGTTCGGGACCAGACAGAGGGAAATATGTTGCAACACAACAGCTGAGACCAGCCCCAGACAGACAGAAAAGGACTAGCTAATACAGTAATCATGGGAGGTAGAGGTGCATTATAATAATAATAGTACCCGCTCTAAATGCATCTGCTACTACCTAATGGACAGTGTTACAGAGGGGAATCAAACACTGAACTGACTGAATAGGTGTCTGCTATTACAGTAATAGATATATTCATAGAGACACTGGTTACGGCCATTGTGATAGAAATCACCTCCTAATTGGGGAAAATGCCTCCATATATGTTAGCACATTTGTCCTGTAGCTGTATTTCTACACCATAGCACCCCTGCTTCGCTAGCACCTGCATTGTGTACAAAAAGACATGCAGCTATATCCACACAAATCCAACTGTGTGTGTGTGTAGAGTTTGTGTGTGTGCCTGTGCGCCTTTGTGTGTGATGTGAAACAACAACTGTAAACATCCACCAACTTCTCAGCACAAAGCAGGATCAATGAGTTAGCCAGCTAACTTTGATAAGCAACCAGAAATAACTAAGCGAAACTAAAGGGACTTTCACACTAAAATGGTTTGGTGCGTTCTTTTTTTTTCTCTGAACTCTGGTGCGTTTACCCCCTTAGTTCGGTTCGTTTGGACTTGTGTGAATATTCTATCCGCACTTCGGGAGTGCACTAAACAACGCACCGTGGTTCGCTCAAAAAGGGTGGTCTCTGTCCGATTAAATTTGTACCGTGGTGCGGTTCGCTGCCAGTGAGAACGCAGTCCGAACCAAACACAGGAAAATAACCAGAGTCGCGCATTATTATTGGTTGTTTGACTGTGAACATTTGATGAAATCATAATTTGAGATCTCTGAAATTTTCTGTGAGTAGCAGCACATTTAGCGGGTATTGTTGCTCTGCCATGCATGCTACTTCAGTGACGCCCCTACCCCATGCGAGTCTCAGCTGGCTCCGGCTGACAGCACCCGGTTAGGGCCCCCACCTGGCAGGCAGCCAGTCTAGGAGATGGACAAATCCAATTACAAAGCCACAAGTCCTCAAAGGCTGACCAGGTGGATACAGGAGTCCCATCTCCCAAACGTCTGGAAAGGCGGATGAAGGCGGCAACTGATAACTGGCTAAATTGTATGCACTCACTACTATAAATGACTCTATTGTGCAGTCTTGCTAAATTACTGAAATGTAAATGTATGAGTGCATCCTATGCAGATTAGTGGAGATGGGGACTATACCAGGGATATAGGCCACTGAATAAACCTATTCACGTCGCATTAGAGGCTATTGCGCAGTTTCCTCCCACATGTTGGAAGACCAAAGCGAAAGTAATATATGACTTGTTTCAGGAAACTAGACATATGTCGTGCGTCACTACTTCACAGGAGAGGCATTTCAACGTAAACATATTTTTTAAAATCAAAAATGCATTTTTGGGCAGAAATGCCTTCTAGAACATTTGAACTTTTCATGTGCCTTAATAACAAACTCGTATGCCATCTGTAAATACGAATAAAAGTGTTAAATTACGAGCCTAGTTGGTTTAGCCATGGAAAAAGACAGGAACCTTCCCGCTAGCCTGATTGGCGAAGATAATGGATGGGCCCCCACCTGGCAGGCAGCCAGTCTAGGAGATGGACAAATCCAATTACAAAGCCACAAGTCCTCAAAGGCTGACCAGGCGGATACAGGAGTCCCAAGAGATGAGTTTGGATTGGTCTGCCATGTAGCATGCTTCTGTTTATAACATGAGCTGCTCAGAATGTGTAGGTAATTCTTTCTAACGTGGCTTTTTGAAAGATATCACAAAGAACTGCAAAAGTGTTGCCAATGCTCTCCACCTTCTGGAGAACCAAGTTTTGAAATCAGTGGAATGCCCGGTGGAAGCAGAGTATGATAGCTAAGGAGATGTAGAAAATTCAGGCGTTTGTAAATATGCAGAGGGAGTCAAAAAGAGAACACACAGAAGGCTGTTGTATAAAACACCTGTCTCCGGATTACATCTTCAAAGTAAGGGCAACCATGGCATCCATGACAGAGAGGGAGAAGCGTCCATCCATGTATACGGGTAAGAGAGTCTAGCTAGCTACATTTTCAGATATTATAAGTTTCTAATTTTGTCAAAGTTGTTTTCATTGCAAGTTAAAGCGTACTGTTAGCTGGCTGACTCGCTAGCTAACGTTATGTGTATGATCTGTGTAGTAATATTATTCGGAATTATCATGGGTGGCTGATCTGTACTACACAGAAATGCATAATTAAGGATATGAATGTCATTCTGCTCATGTTTCACAAGTTTGGACATCACAGCGCAACACAGCAGAGCACAGTAGAGTACAGTGCAGTACAATACAGCACAGCAGAGTAGAGTATAGTTCAGTGCAGTACAATATACTGTACTATACTCTACTTTTCTTTACTGTACGGTATTGTACTACTGTATTGGACTGTACAGTACCGTACTCAGTACTGTACTGAATTGCACTGTACTCTACTGTGCTCTACTCACTATACTGTACTGTCCAAACTTGTGAAACATACGTCTATAATAAGTTCAGTTTTGGTCCAGTCCGGTCCGTCTGTAGACGTTAACATCAAGGCCAGGGTGGACTGACCAAATTTCAACTACTTTTCAACGTCCATGGACGTCTGGTGTCGGTCGGTGCTCAGTGGGTGAGGATGCTGGTTACAGTAAATAGAAAGAGAGGGGGCTCATGGTTAGGTGTCAGTATGAGCTGGCAGAGAGCAAGAGAGGGAGGGGCTGTCCAGACTCAAACCGTTTTAACACTCAAAAACAGACAAAAACAATTATCCGAATTACATCTTCAAACTAAGGGCAACCATGGCATCCGTGACAGAGAGGGAGAAGCGCTCATCCATGTATACGGGTAAGAGAGTCTAGCTAGCTACATTTTCAGATATTATAAGTTTCTAATTTTGTCAAAGTCGTTTTCATTCAAAGTTAAAGCATACTGATAGCTGGCTAACTAATGTTAGCTGCCTGACTCGCTAGCTAACGTTATGTGTATGATCTGTGTAGTAATATTATTAGTGTCTGAGAGCCATTTGCATTGCTAGTTATAGACTAATGTTAGCTATCTAGCTATGGTTCATTGTTTAGCTAGCTTGCTAGCTATATGTCTAAACAAAAGACTATGCCAGTAACCATTTCACTGTACCATTTACACCTTCTGTATCCTGTGTATGTGACAAATAAACCTGACCTGCACCAAAGTCAAATTAGGCCAACGAGACAGTGTCCAAGTTAAACAATTCTCCAGTAGAATGCCGTGCTTTTATTTCATCACACTCACAACTGTAAACTATTTGCTGTAATTAGCTCGCCATTAACTTGTAAATAATGATATTGTTGTGAGTTTATTTTTACTGTAATAATGAATACAAATTAGCTAAAGTTAAGACGTTGTCAGCTATATGATATGGTCATAATTTGAACTGGCTAGCCAGCTAACTTAACGTTAGCTAGCTAGCTAGCTAACAAGCTAGAAATGAACCAAAACATTGTTTAGAACGACAAGTTTGATGTCGGACGACAATAGAATGTTCATGATGTCACTGCGACAACTGTATGCAGACATGTCGATAGACGTAGTATAAACCAGCCTTTAGTCTTGAAATCTTTGGTTGTTTAGTACACTACCGTACTCACTCTGTTTAGCACATGGCCTCACGTGAATCCTTAAAGAGATGAGTGGGGCTAAGGCTTAAGAGGGTGTGAATGATGCTGAATGGGTGTAGACAAAGAAGAGCTCTCCAGTAGGTGTACCAAAACATTCAAGGACCATTTTCTCAAACGTTTATCAACTTTCAAAGCAGAATTACTTTCCCATTGTTCCTCAACTGTAGTGTACTACTTTTATCTAATGTAAAAAACACAATTTCTAATTTTGCTACATAGGACTGAATCAAGCCGATCAGTCACATGTGAAGATTGGGATACGCAAGTTATGCTTCATGATAATCATAAATTGATTTATCGTGAGTATTTTTGTCCAATAAACAAATGACTTGCATGGACACGTGGTTGTGTTTAGGAATTTTGGTTCGTTTGACATTTGGAAATGTGAAACTAACTGAACCAAATGAAAAAAATACAATGTAACAAATAGTATAACTCTGATTCGAACTATAGCTCAAAACTATGTGTGAAAACACCCTTCGATGTCTTTTCGTTTGTTAAATCAATTAGACCATATCCATTTCAAGCTTATCTTTGTATAAAATGAAATGTTATATCAGAATATTTAGACAAGTGAGCTGGCTAACTCCATAATCCTGCTTTGTAGTATACCCCTCTGAGGCTTTCTTTATTGTCTTTCATATTTCACTCTGGTTTTAAACTGGCTTCTGGGGGTAATTTATATTTGGGTCCAGAGCTGTAGCGACTTAGCTTTTATTGATGAAAACAAACACCGGGCCTAGCATTCAACAGCAGACGGGCTAATTGAAATCTCACTGACTGTGCTATGGGCTCTGGAACATCTGAGTCATTTTGGCAAAACACATTAGCTACCAATTAGATATGAAGAAATAAAACACCTCTAAACTACAGTGATGCCTGACTTCACTAAACCAAACAGAGCACATGTTTAATTCTAAGATAGAAACCTAGAGCCATACATGTTTATGATAAGTCACTTGAACAACACATTATAATACATTATACATGCAGGCTTGAAGTAAAGTCGGTGTTACCAAAATATAGCTATTTATTCACCTTTCCCACAAGACTGCAGATTTTAGGGCCTAGTTGTTGTAGATCAATGGAGGCTCCTCAGAGATGGAAGGGGAGGACCATCCTCAGTGAATTTCCTAAAAATAAAAATAGTGAAACATGAAAGTTATTATTTTTAGACAAAACTATACTAAATATATTCACGTCACCAAATAATTGATTAAAACACACTTTTGCAATGAAGGTCTACAGTAGCCTCAACAGCACTCTGTAGGGTAGCACCATGGTGTAGCCAGAGGACAGCTAGTTTCCGTCCTCCTCTGGATACGTTGACTTCAATACAAAACCTAGGAGGCTCATGGTTCTCACCCCCTTCCATAGACTTACACACTAATTTTGACAACTTCCGGAGAACGGCCTCCAACCTTGCAGCGTGAACTGACATGTCTCCCCAATCAAAGGATCAGAGAATGAATCTAGTACTGAAAGCATAAGCTACAGCTTGCTAGCACTGCATTGCATAAAATGTGGTGAGTAGTTGACTCAAAGAGAGAGAAAGACAGTTTGTTCAGTTTTGAGCAAATTAATTTATTCAAAAATAAAGCAGAAGCAAGAGCTATATTTCGTTGTATTTTTTAATCCACTTTCACTAAGCTAGCTAGTTTAGCCTACTCAAACACCGGCTCAAACAGAGAGGGATGCTATGTTAGCTAGCTGTCTATGGCTATCCAACACTGGAACTCTTCGAAGTCAATTACTTTATTGCCACCGGGGCCCGCCAGTGTAACTGCTAAACTGCTTGCTGACTATACACTGTACTGCATAATTACATTTTTACATTTTACATTTTAGTCATTTAGCAGACGCTCTTATCCAGAGCGACTTACAGTTAGTGAGTGCATACATTACATTTTTTTATACTGGCCCCCCGTGGGAATCGAACCCACAACCCTGGTGTTGCAAACGCCATGCTCTACCAACTGAGCTACATCCCTGCCGGCCATTCCCTCCCCTACCCTGGACAACGCTGGGCAAATTGTGCGCCGCCCCATGGGTCTCCCGGTCGTGGCCGGCTACGACAGAGCCTGGATTGTAGCGGGTTTACTAACGTGTTAGTTTTAGTAGCTACGAAGATGTAGGTAGGCTGTGTGTAGCGTGTGCAACCTGTGCATCAATTCTGTATGGGTTTCTAGGGCCGTACTGTAACGCTGTAGAGGCCTGCAGCATCCAGAGAACCGTGCACAAACTGCATATAGAGTACCATCCTTCCATGCCTTTACTGACCCATAAATAACTAGAGCTAGGGCTCTAGGAAGGGAAGGCAAACATCATGAGGCTATTATCTTGATCACACTGATCACATTATAATATCAAACAGTCATTTGATCCTCACATAGAGTACGCTCTAAATGGTACCCTATTATCTATATGGGCCTTGGTCAAAAGTAGTGCACTATGTGGGCGATCCCATGCCAGCGGGAGCAGAAAATGTTTTTGGTATCTCAGATTGTTCTCGCAATTCTCACATAGAAACCTCATTGGGAGGAAGGATGTTTGAAATGCTTTTTGGGCATTTCCACGGTAACATAATTACGCTTTTACTCAATTTTTACACTTTAATTTAGTAGAAGAGTGCATGTGCAAACTTTGGTAACGGAATTACGGTAAAATCGGCCTCAGTTTGTGACTACGTTTTCCCAAAATTCTGTTAAATATAGGCTCCAAATTTAAGATTCGAAGATGTCTGCAGTAAGAATGGGGTATCAGCTATGACATGGCACCTTGAGTTTGAAAAAAAATATTTTGGTTATTGAACTACAGTAAGTGAAGTGGGTTTACACCTGGTAACGTAATTATCATGGGTGCCTGATCTGTACTACACAGAAATGCATAATTAAGGATATGAATGTCATTCTGCTCATGTTTCACAAGTTTAGACATCACAGCGCAACACAGCAGAGCACAGTAGAGTACAGTGCAGTACAAGACAGCACAGCAGAGTAGAGTAGGGTTCAGTACAGTATAGTTCA